ACCCCCCCCCCTCAAACTTTCGATTTGCACACCCCCCCCCCCTCAAGTTTTTCTCTCTATATTTTGCCATTTTTTGCATTGCTGTCACCCCCCTAAATGGTGTCACCCGGTGCGGTCCGCGACCCCCGCCCCCCCCCCCCGCCCCCCTCGCTACGCCCCTGATTCCACCCAGATCTTAACACTAAACCTACTTGTTTGCATGCAAATGTTGAAAGAAAATGATTAGCTCTGACCCCCATTCAGGTGAGCTGTACGAAGAAAATGTTCTAGTCCAGGGGTCGGCAACCTGCGGCTCGCGAGCCGCATGCGGCTCTTTTGATATCAAGATGCGGCTCTTCAGCTCCTTGAACAAATACTAATAATCTTAATAAAAAAATAAAATATTTGAAATTAAAAAAATGTTAGTGGCTCTTTAAAATCAGGGAAATTCTGAAAATTGTAACTTTTGGCTCTTCCGCTTCAAAAGGTTGCCGACCCCTGTTCTAGTAATTTGGCACTGAGCTCAGCCAGCACTTGCTAGTGCTGTTAACACTCTGGCCCCTCCCCCTATTAATACAATCGTATTGTCCCTTCGATTAAAGGGATCCAAAATTAAGAAACATAATTTGGTATATCCTGCAGATCGTAAGCTGAGAAACATTTTTATAAATAAAATATGGTCAAAGAAGTTCGTGTTTGTGTTTGTTAACTAAATTATATATTATATTTGTACCTTTCAAAAAATTATATTGATTCTCATGTCTCATATGATTTTTAAGACGACAATCTATATCGTTAATAAACATGTATAGGTTTGAGTGAATTGAATTATATTTCATATAGTATTTCATTACTTAACTACTTTAAAAGTAGTCTCCCTTGATTCACGAAAGTATACTCATGATCAATGATTTCTAATATGATTAATGACACAGGCTTAGGAGCAGATTCCGAAAATAAAACAGTCGTCGGAGTCAACAGGTCATTTGGAACATAACATGTTAACATACAATTCTTAGTTGCGTTGTGGGAAATATTCGGTAGTACTGTAATTAGCGAAGAAGAAGAAGAGACTTGAGTTGACAGTCGTGTGTGCTACATCTCAACCACAACTATGTATGTTTAAAAATACAGTATGGGGTATATTCAAAGGAGATGATTCATCATCAGAAACAACTTTACACAGCAATCCTCTGTAAGCTATTGGTCCTGAACTATGTAGGGGAGATAATCCAAAATAATAAAATCCCATGATTGTTTCGTTATTTTTAAAAATATAATATTTAAAAAAAAAAACAACTACCTTTTCAAATTTATTCAAGTCGGGTAATTTCTTTGACCTCTGATCCTCATCATCTGAACCCTGTGGAGGAAAAAATGGTATATAGATGAAATTAAAAAAACATGTTTCACTACATTGGTTAAACTCAAGAAATCTAAGAGAGAGCACCCCGCTACCGCAATATATGTAGTTAATCTTGAATTGCTTCCCCTGTTCCATTTTTTTTTTTTAAATTCAATATAGGCCAAGCTTTTGTGATGTCACATTTAATACACCCCACTCAGTGGCGTCACAAGGCGGGGCGGAGTGTGGGTGCCATATAGGGGGTAACACCACGCCGAAAAAATCGTAAAACGTACTGTCACAACAATGTCGTATAAAGTTAAAATAAGAAAATAGTAGGGGGAGAATGTTGACACCAAAACCGAAAATGCAAAATTGTTGAAGGAGGTATTGGTGGGAGCGGGGTTGACACCTGGAAAAACATGTACTAATTACGCCAATGCCCCCCCCCCCCCCCCTCCACAACTTTACCTGTCGCTTAAAAGCTAAAAACCAACTCCCTGTCTTTGATTCCAGCGCTTGATCTAGATCTATTTCTAATATCATTAACACTAGCAAGTTATGCAATACACCCCACCACTATGTTTTCCCCTCTCTCCAACCGGTTCAAAATTTAAATATTATATGCTGGTACTTTCTTTAGACCAGGGGGTCTCCAAACTTTTCAGACCGAGTGCCGCATTAACTATCAAATTTCAATTCGAGGACCAGTTTCTTCCAGACATTTCTTTGATTTTTCTAGGCAAAGTTTCTCTCTAGGCAAAGTTTCTCAGCCATAACCAACAAACAAAAAGATCGCCGCGGGCCGGATGAGAGGACCTCGCGGGCCGCATATGGCCCGCGGGCCGTAGTTTGGAGACCCCTGCTTTAGACTTACAATGATACTCCTCAGTGGTGCTTTCAGGCATCTCTGGACCCCCACCAAGAGGTGTAGCGGGGGGGGGGGGGGGGACATATGTCCCCGGGCGCCGACCTTAGGGGGCGCCAAAATGGGTTGGAAAAATAAATCGAAACTTGAGGAGGGTGCAAATAGAAAGTTTGTCCCCGGACGCCGGGAAGGGTTGCTACGCCTCTGCCCCCACCCCACCCAAGCAGTTCCCCTACTTCCCCGGAGCATAAGCCTAACCTAACCCCAGACCCAACATTACTAAAACCAAAATATAGAATGGCTGCATATTTTTTTAATATATATGATAGGTGATAGTTTATAAAAGTAACAATATAATTCAGTAGTACAAAATATCAGAAAACAACTTCTTCTTATACTCTACATTTTCCCCTAAATGTTTACAAGAATCAAATCACGTGACTTACATTCTAGGTGTTGTTTTCTTTAACATGCCCCGCCCCTTTCCACGTGACCTACTTTGTAGCAGTCAATGCCCCTAACATCCCGCGTCCATTACGTAAATGAGTTAATGCCCATAACAAGCCACGCCTTCTTTACAAGGTTCACGTTGTAGGAGCTATCTCACGTGCCCCACCCCCATTTTGTAACCTACTTTGTCAGAGTCAAAGTCCCATACACACACCCCCGTCCCCCACCCCTATCTGGTAACTTGTCTACCTTCAGTGGCGTAGCTAGATCTAGGATTTTTGGGCCCCTATGCAAAAAGTGTTAGTGGGTACCCTCAGGGGCGTAGCGACCCTTCCCGGCGACCGGGAACAAACTTTCGATTTGCACCCCCCCCCCCCTCAAACTTTCGAAAAAGGGCCCCTATTCGCCTTGTGCCCTATGCCTTGCTTACGCTAGCTTTACGGTAGCTACGCCACTGTCTACCTTATAACAGCTGATGCCCATATATGCCCCTTACCTTATAGGAGCCAATGCCCCTAACATGCCCCGCCGTCATGGGCACGATATGTGCAATCTGCGAGCTGGGCGGGCTGGTGGGCGTGCCCTGATCAGGGGGCGTTCCCGAGTTGTCGTCGTCCATTGGCTCGCGCAGCCCGCCATTGATCGTCTTGTTGTACAGCCCGCACGCGTTGCACAGGTAGTGGCCCGTAGCGTCCCGCCTCCAAAGGGGCGTGGAGATCGTGCCGCAGTTGACACACTCGCGACCTTCCGCCGAGACAAAGTAGTCCTCGCTGCCGTCTGCAAAAGATAGGTCCGTGTTAAGGTTCTTGTTGTATTTTAAATGCTAGAGTTAGTGGTTACACTGGTTAGGGTAAAATATGCTTTAGAAGTTAGGGAGGGTGGTTAGAGTAATATTGATAAGCACTTGAGCAAGTAAAAAGAGTAATTAAATTATATTGTTTTTAATTATTAGGGACAGCGGTTGTGGAAATCGTTTTTAACTGTTAGGGATAGTGATTCAGTGTTTCTTTCTTTCAGTCTATGGAAGGGTGGATTGAACCTTCCAAGGGGGAAGGACAATTATTAAACTACGTATTTTCTATTGAAATGTATTTACTTTTTTCTTTTTCATTCGGGGGACGGAAGGGGGATTTGGTCCGGGGGTGAGAGTGAGGGAGTTACACCCGCGGAGGGGTGCCTGCAAGAAAGACTGCAAGAGTAATATTTTTAATTACTAGATTTGGTGATAAGGGTCATTGTTTTTTTAACTGTTATTTTTACTTTTGTTTGTTATTTGTTTGTTGTTTTGTTGTGGTTTTATAAATAACAACAAACTTTTTATGGGGGTTTGTATTCAAATTCTGCAACTAAAATTCAGATATATTTCATTTTTCCCCTGGGGGAGGGGGCGGGACTTTTTCTGTATACAAATTTCTACTTCGTTATTGAAACTAAAATTTGACCAGTTTCTAATCGAGTAATATCTTTTAAATTTTGCACATAAGAATATCTTCAATGACTACGCAATTAAATCTAAATTGTAATAGATCATTGCAATTGTCATTCAGACATTACCGTTTAATTTACAGTGTACTAATTACATAAACAACATGGGAAATGTCAAAGTTGTGGCCATCACTTGTTCAGTCAGATTAGCTGGTGGTAGTTGCAAATTGTACACCTGTTGAAAAAATCCAACGCGGGAAAAAAAGTGTGATTATGTTCTTATTTTTACTGCTTAAACAAACGTGTTATTGTTAATTCTTATTTTATGTAACTGTTAGGGTTTTGAGTTGGCGGTTGGGGTTATATCTTGTCAATAGTTAATTGTTTCTTGTGAAAGTTATGTAGCATAAAACGGTTGCATGTCAACCTGAATACGGCCTTGAGCCTAATTCTGACCTCAATCAAGACGCGACGGATTATCCTGACGGATTATCCTGACGCTCACCCTTTTCCTAATTCTAATCCTATGGGCTCAGTGTTTCTTTCAGATATTTTTCTCCGGGGGGGGGGGGGGAGAAGGGTGTGGGGGAGGGGCACTTGATATCTTCGGAGGGGCTGGCTAAATTTATCAGCAGAGTTTCTTCTAGGCATCACTTCGGAAAAGTCCCCCCCCCCCCTCCCCGGAGAAAAAAGTGGAAGAAACATCCATTTCGTTGGGGGGGGGGGGAGGCGGTGGACTTTCTTTGGGGGCGGGAGGCTTCGAAGAGATGCCAGGAAGAAACTCTCTATGGGCCTTAGGCATATAACGACACAGGCAGATGTAAGAAAAACTAAGACGCGCTACAATATCTCCTACCGGTTAATCATCGTTTTTTGTGCTTAAAATATCTTATGGTGACCGGCTAACAACTTTTGTAGTTATAGAGTAGTAATATAGAAACTGTGTGTGTAGAAAGTCAGTTGTTTGAATTGGTCAAATGTTAGCTTAGCTAACAAAAATAAGAAGTCATTTTTAAAAAAGACTACATTTAGTCAGAATGTTATAAATAGACAAATAACTCTTTCATTCAAAGGAAAATTTGGTGAATGTTTCACTATGTAATATCCGAAAATGTTACCTCTAAAATTTTTTTTTTTATTGAATAAGCGGTAGAGCGCTAGGCTGCTAACCCGAAAGTCTAGAGTTCGAATCAGGGTCCAAGTCCCTGGACGTTCCTGAGTCCACCCAGCTTTTATGGGTACCAAACACATGTTAGGGAAGGTAAGGCGGATGGGTAAAGTCCTGACCCCACTTTTTCTTCATCTGTCGAAGTCAAGAAACATATGAACTCTACTTCATCTACACAATGGATCGCTATGTCTAACGATAATTCTTTACTTTTACTTTGCTATCTGAATATGTGAATCCTAAAAAACTGTTTTTTAATTGAATAAAAGACATTGTTTCGTATTGTTTTGACCTTTGATCAATGTTCACTCGGCAAAATAAATATTTTAAACAGAAATCGATTTAAAAAAAAACGATTTTTCAGAAAAACAAAACGCAATACAAAGAAGATGGTTGTCAGGTTGATAAGTTATTTCATTTTACATGTATGGGGGTGGGAATGTATTTTGTGACGATGTGTGACATGGAGAGGAGGGGGGGGGGGGGGCGGGAGATAAAAGTCGTCAAAAAGTGTGATGTGATTTATTGACGTCGCATACACAACACTATTTGTATACCCACAAAAATGCACACACTACCACACATACATACACCCCATATTTTGATATTCAAACACGCACGCATGCATACACACGACCACGCGTATACACGTACAAACACATACACACATACACACACACACGGGTCAGCTACAGAAGATAAGAAACAGCCGGTGATTTTGTTTTTTGCAAAACTTTTATCTGAGAGAGTGTATGTCGGTCACGTGATCTGAACACACATTTTAAAAAACTAGGCTTCATATTTGTAACTTACCTTTACACCGTCAACATTTTCTTTTCTTTTTTTTTTCCCACATGAAAACCCGTATTTATTATTTCCTTTTTCTAATCATTCCCCATCCTTCAAAACCCTCCAAACTCTCCCCCTCCCCCCACCCCATCGTCCAAACACTGCACAATCCTCCTAATCCTATTGCCCCAACATCACGTATTCTGTCCTCACCCTACTTCCTAGCTGTTCCTTTATCAAATCTCCACCCAGTCGTTTCTATTTTACCTCCGATTGTTTCCACTTAGAAACCTTCAACACCCATGACCACCACACTAACATCACCTTGCTCCCTACCCACACCACATTACCCTCGTACCTCATTACATTGGTGTGTACCTCATCACACTAGCGTGTACCTCATCAAGTACCTCATCACGCTGTCATGTAATTCATCACACCAGCATGTACCTTATCACTTACCTCATTACACTGGCGTGTACTTCACCAAACTATTGTGTACCTCAATTTTCAAAGAGCTCCCTATTCCCATTCTCACTCAACTCTACATCCTCACTCCAAGGCTACCCCACCACTCTCTTCATACACCTATACAGTTTTCAACCAACGCAATCACCACCCCCACCCCCCACCCCTGAACGTAACAGGTAAGGGATTCCCGCACCCCCTGACCCCACCAAAACGTCCCCTGTATCACATCCCACCCCCACCTAAACGTCCCCTGTATAACATCCCACCCCCACTAAAACATCCCCTGTATCAGACCCCACCCCCACCTAAACGCCCCCTGTATCAGACCCCCACCCCCCACCTAAACGCCCCCTGTATCAGACCCCCACCCCCACTAAAACATCCCCTGTATCAGACCCCACCCCCACCTAAACGCCCCCTGTATCAGACCCCCACCCCCACCAAAACGTCCCCCTGTATCAGACCCCCACCCCCACTAAAACATCCCCTGTATCAGACCCCACCCCCACCTAAACGCCCCCTGTATCAGACCCACCCCAACCTAAACGTCCCCTGTATCAGACCCCCACCCCAACCTAAACGTCCCCTGTATCAGACCCACCCCAACCTAAACGCCCCCTGTATCAGACCCCCACCCCAACCTAAACGTCCCCTGTATCAGACCCCCCCACCCCCACCAAAACGTTCCTTGTATCAGACCCCCACCCCAACCTAAACGTCCCCTGTATCAGACCCACCCCAACCTAAACGTCCCCTGTATCAGGACCCCACCCCCACCTAAACGTCCCCTGTATCAGACCCCCACCCCCACTAAAACATCCCCTGTATCAGACCCCACCCCCACCTAAACGCCCCCTGTATCAGACCCCCACCCCCACCAAAACGTCCCCTGTATCAGACCCCCCACCCCCACTAAAACATCCCCTGTATCAGACCCCACCCCCACCTAAACGCCCCCTGTATTAGACCCCCACCCCAACCTAAACGTCCCCTGTATCAGACCCACCCCAACCTAAACGTCCCCTGTATCAGATCCCACCCCCACAACTATTTGTCCCCTGTATAATTCCCTCCGCCACTCCACCTAAACGTTCCCTGTATATTTTCCCCCGCCACCCCACCTAAACGCCCCCCGTGTGAGATCCCCCCCCCCCCTTCCCACACAACCCCACACACACACACCCCGCCACCACCACATCTCCCCTACTCTGACGTCCTCAAGTCGAAACAAAGGGAGATAAACTATTCTAAAAACGCATTGACAAGTCGATAAGGGAGATAAGCGCCGGACCTTGCCTAGCCAAGAGCCCGGCTACACAGCTCAGTCGCCGATAAGGACACGAACGATAACTGCGATATCGAACGGGTAGATAAGTGAAGAGGGAAATAGAAAGATAAACAAAGGGGCTGTAGGGGTGGGAGGGAACATCTGCCCCCGTCAGCAGGGTGAAGTTGTAACAATTGGTGTGTCCTTCAGTGGCCTTTGTTTCAAACGGCTGGTCACTAATTGTGTTTGTGTATATATGTTTGTGTATGAATTTAAAAGGTATTAGTTTAATGGGCTCTCTGACTTACACATAGTCAATGTTTTGTTTATTAAATTAAGACTACAAGAAGAATTTGGATTTTTTTATTAAAAATTCGTTTTAAAACTATTTATTTTAAAATGGACTTATAATAATTTGTAGGCCGTTTAGTGTCATAATAAATATATAATAAATAAAGGACCAACCCCCCTGAGCCTTAATGCCAGAGTTTATTTCTTATCTTTTCGTGGTAGTGCCCCCTGTCCCCCCCCCCCCCTACCCCCACAACTTCAAATCAAGCAACACCATTCCCTCAATCTAAATTGAACAAAAAATGTAATTTGTATAGAGACTATATACTTTAACCAGTGTCCACCCCCCACTACCTCGGAAATGTA